ATCATGTCGCTCTTAACACTGCCTGTCAGCTGCTTCTCAGGCTGGCTGATGGATGCTGGCAGGTCAACCTGTTTTTCCTGCTACCTCCCCTCCCTCATCCACCCCCCACCCAGTCAGCCTTGGCAGCCTGCTGGGAGGAACACCAGGAGAATCTACATGATGGCTGGGGGCTTCCTAGCCCCCAGTAAATAGGGACCCCTCCTGTTCTACTCACAGGGCCCCCACCCACCCACCCACCCAGTCAATAGGAAGCATGGGGCCTTCCAGATAAAACGGGAAATCCCCGCGTTACCAGGAAGTAACCCTCAGAGACTCAACCTGCAGTATAGTAGTCTGGGGAAAGTAGAGAAAGATTTTCCCAGTAATTTGAACCTTGACTCCTTCAATATATATACATTTTAAAAAATCCTATATACAAGAAGCAGTCTTTCAGTCATGACTTACTGACTTACTGACACTATTTTCTGAAATATCTTTTCAGTGGCAATCTGGTTTATACAGAGATGGATGCCAGTAAATATATAGACTCCTTCCTAGAAAAGGAAAGGTCAGATTTCACATATGCAAGTTTCCAAGGGTACCAACTCCAAATTAAAAAAAAAAAAAATCAGCTGACACTGCCAAACACCTGCCCAATGTGGGTTCCAGTCTGTTTGAAGATGCCATCTCCCCATACCTGAAATGCTACTGTGTTTAGGTAGCAAATTCAACAGCCTGAAAAGTTGAATGGACTTGAAGATAATACTTTAATAGATACTGCAAGAGCTGATTGATATATTATGGAAAATTAGTTATCAAGTCACCTCATCAATTATGAATGTTAACTATGCATTTAAATATGAAACAGGCCTCTGCTTTTGTGGAGTAAAAATGGGCAAGGTAAATATGGGTGTGCATTATTTGGAAACAAGAATGAGACTTTTTTTTTTTGCAGATACATGTCATCAGGAGCCTTGGATTGACTATGCCTCCGTAATTAACGTAAACTCAACCATCTATTGCCGCAGCATATGTGACATATTATGTATATTTATTTTGAAGGCATAGATATCATAATATGCAAACTATAGTATTCAGGATATACTTCACCTTAGTAAAGAATTTCATTGACTGAACTTAATTAAATTGATGAGGGTTTTTTTTAATAAAAAAAAAACCAACTCACCAATCAATGAGAAATGAATTTCCATGTGGATATTTTTCAGCATCCCAACTGACCACATTTCCTTTTAAAGAAGTGCTTTGAAAGATGGAAATTATGAACCATCGCTTTCATGTTTCCCTGGGGTGAACTTTTATTTTAGCTCATCAAGCAGCCCTCGTATTAGGATTGTGTTTCATTCTTCAATTAGAACCAGTCAGAACCTTATCAAGCCAAAGAACAAAGGGATGCACAGGAATTCCAGCCAGAGAATGCAGCCCCCTTGTGCTTCCCAGGCTGCAAAACTTTCTACTGGCTGGATGTTATTTCAAGCGCTGTGCATCCCACCCATAGGCTTCTGTGAATCCAGAAGCTGATGGGCTCTGACGCCTTGTGAGCATCAAACTTATTCATGTTCAGGAATGGGAGGGTCAGGGCCATTGACACACACCAGTATCCTGCTGCCTATTATTTCCTGCCAGTTCTGGCAGCTTCCCAAGCTGTGACATGACAGGTGGATGGAGTTCACAAGGAAATCATGTCATGGGCCAGTTTTCCAGGAAAGCTGTTAATTCAATTCACAAAGTGAGCTCTTGAGACAGAACGGGAACCTAACTGAGGGCGAATGCTCATCTCTGATTTTTTAGGAGAGAAGAGGAAATCTTTCAGATACCCAGCTTTATCCAATGCAGGAGAGATGCATTGTTTTAGAATATGCTATAAAATATCTGATTCCTGGGTGGAAGTGGGTAGACTTTTCTTCACAGGATATGGCTCTGTCCATTTGGTGAATGAGGTACCGAACCAGAGAGATCACAGTGGAATCAATATGAAAACAAGTTAAAATTATTTGGCAAAAATAAAGGAGAAGTAAAAGTAAAAATTGATAAAAATAACTACTTTGTGTGTCTTTTGATTGGTCGCACTGGGAGCTGTCAGCCTGGAAACAACCTAACTGTCCACCTCAACATAGCTATCACAGGGGCACTTCGGGAACAAACTGGAAGAGGGAAGGAAGGCAGTTAATGAATTTCACCCATATCAATAAAACTAATAACACCAATAATTCTTTAAAATTATCCCCAATTTATACCTGCTACTTAACCTAGCTCTTTTTGCCCTTTCTTGCTTAAAACATGGTGTCTGCATGAAATAAAAGTCTGAAGAAATGATGGGGTGGACGTAGCAGTTAGACCAGAATGTGCCATTATCTGGACTCCCTCCAATTCTTTGAATCAGGCAGGGCAATTACCAGATGTAAATCTCACTGAGGAACATCTCGAGTTGGGGGAATTTCAGAAGGGAACTGGATGGGACTAGGTAATACCTTTGGAGGCATTATTTCTCTTAATGGGGCCAACAAAGAAGGGAACGTTCTCAAAGAAAGAATGAACAATTGAAAAAGAAATCCCCTCCCATTTGCTTTTCCTGAGTGAGCCCAGGATATAGGAAGCTATTTCATTTCCAGTGATCCTCCCTCTCTATTTTCTGTTGAATTATGCTTCTTATACCCATTTTGCCTAAATAAGTGGCCAATAAGAGATTTGAACATGTTGCAAAAGAGCTACTGGTCTCAGTTATCCATATATGCACAACGGTTCTTGTTCAGTCACCTCTGGCCCACCAAGTTGTTCAGGAGTTTGAAGCTTGACCCCAACCTGAAAAGCCTTGAACAGTAGTGCACTGAATGTTTGGGTCAAGAAAAAGGTGAGCTCTATCATACCATCCTTATGAGAAGGACTTCTGTCTTCTACAGTCATGTGCAGTTGAGATGGTTGGCTGGTGGTTTCAGCGCACCTGAGTTTTACAATACACCCAGTCAAATTGCTGTGCTAAACAAAATCCCAGCAGGGAAAAAAGTGTATTACAGCCAGAACATACTGTCTTTGTTTCCCTAGTTGAAGCTTGATCAGAATTATTGCTTCAGCAAGGGAGTGACCCCCTCTGCCTTACAGATGTTAACCACTGCCCTCATTCTGAAGAGTGGTTTTTTTTAATCCTCTGTCCACTGATTTAGCATTGCTGTATGTCCTGCTAATTGTCACTCTATACAACAGCTTCATATTGTAAGAGAACACCCCCTAATATTTTTAATGACCTTAAGCAAAGTGATTGACATAAGATACCCGAGTCAGATGTTCTAGTGACGCAATATGTTCCCCCAGTAGCAGGAAAGCTTCCTGCCGTGATTAAGTTCGTGCTATGAAAAGTGCTAAAATGTGTGGTCAGCTTTCCTCTGATGCAAGCGATTTTATTATAGTGTCTGGTGACTGCGGAGTGTAGCAACACAAATACTGAGTCTAAACATCCCCTCCCATATGTATAGCCTCTGCTCTATTTAAATCACAGTTTGCACTTTAGAAGGCTAGGGTCTCAGTTATGAGCGCTGTTTGCATGTCCACCTTTTTAACAGAAGAGTTGGGGTTATTCATGCAATGATGTACCACCACCATTTCTTCATCTGGAGGAAGCCAGTAATATTCTGAGAGGAAATTTCTGGAGCTTGGTTTTATGTCTCTCTAGACACAAAGCGTTATATTACAGCACGAGTTGTAAATTCAAATTACTTATAAGCCAATCCTATTGGACAAAAATAGGACATTTCAGTCATATATACAACTGGGCCACAGATTTGCTTCCATCCAGGAGGGCACATCCTTAATCAACTATATGGCCATATCTTTAAAATGTAGGACTACAGTGGCCAATTTCACAAACACCTTAGATCTTCTTGCTATTGCATTCTTACAGTGCACGATGTCAAGGCCCAAATCAAAGTCACATCCTTTGGTTTGGAAACTTTCTGTCTATTCCCAGATTAATCTTACACACTGAGGAAGGAATGATACTTTGAACATGATCGGATAGACTCTGTTGTTACTACTTAACATGCTAACATGCCACAGAACTGAGTCTTAACACTGGAAATAGGCTGAGATGCTTTTCTCAAGTCCTGGACATACCCCAAATTACACCTTCTTTGGCATGCAGACAGATAGAGCAAACGGGATCCTGAGACCAACATTATCCCTAGCCACAAGTGCTGTTTTGAGGAACAAGAACTTACATGTATCTGAGGTTCATTCTTTGTATTGGGGAAGACAAACTTTTTCGACCAAGGAACACATCCCTGCAGGCATAGTCTGGTTGGGAGTCAGATAACGTCAATGAAATTCGGTGGCAAAGCAAGAGTGAGTGGGGCAGGGCCATCCTTTCCCTTTCTGGCATCCTTTTCCAGTCTCTCTATTGCCCCTTTTCTCTTGTACTCCTCACAGAGCAGGCTGCCAGGAAAAATTTACATCACTTGCACAAAGTCTGAATTTTGTTCCCACAAGAGGCTGTTGAAATTAGGTTGAGGGTATATGAAATTAGGCAATGGCCCACATGTGCTACATGTTGCCTACCTCTCCCCTATAAGCACAACAGCAGTCAACATCAACAACAGATATTCTCCTTTACTGCTACTTATGAAGCTTACTTACATTGCAACAGACTGATACATTTCCAAACTTGCACTCAGTGCCGTGTCTCGTGGCAATGAATTCCATGAATTGTGGTCTGAGAGAAGTGGTGGTTTCTTTCCTGGTTTCACTGGAAAGTTTAAAAGCAGCCCTGGATGTTCATATAGATTAGAGCATCTGTCTGGAATAACATTACTACTGAAATACTTGCACTTTTTTTTCTGCTCTTCAGGAAGTGTTTTATTTAATACTTGCACCCCCTTCCTTATCTGCTGTTTGTGTGTATATCATAGCCCATCTTTTTGTCTTTTCTATAAAAGAAATGGACTTATTATTTACAAAAGAGAAGGGGGTTTACTAGGGAAAATATCCTAACTTTGGAATGTGGTCCCACGGGAAATACAGCTGGCACCAACTCTGAATTAAATTCAACAGTCTGTTAGAACCATTTTATTCGCATTTAATGCATTTAATTTGTAAATACATTTTACCATGTCAATTTGCATTTGATTTGAGCTTTTTAAGATTTTACTGCTTTAGGCTGGGTTCTGAGGGTCTTTTATCATACTTAAGTTTTTAACACAATTTTTGCATACACTGTCCCACGCCTTTCTTAAATAAAGATGCAGAAGAGAAGGTTCAACATTAGCAGACGTTCAGAGGTTCAACTATACTCAATAATCAGTAATTCTACAAGCTTTCAGGGACTGGATAAAAGTTCAGTCTGCATTGCTCAATCAATGCAAAGTGGTAGCCCTGCATGCCAGTGTACTTCCCCTCTAGTTTCTCGCATTCCTTAGAGTTTCAGTGGGGCAGGGATGAACATAACATACTGACTCCATCCCTGGCTGTGCATTCATATCACTAATATCCATACTGGTCTTCTGGGATGGATCAGTACAAAAAGTTCCAGATCAGAATGGAAATAATTAAACCTTGTGAAGCTCTAGCAGCAGAAATTGTTTATTATTTTTTAAATGAAGGGTTCATTAAAAAAATTAATATCAAAACCACCCCAAAGTGCTAAGTATGAGAGCATTATAATAATGAAATTTACAGAAAAAGTCACTTTTAGCTATACAGGTATTTTGTTGTTTACTTTGGGCTAATAAGCATAGAGATCAACTTGTGTCTAAATATTAATCCCCCTCCCCTGAGCACCCCAAAATTTAATTAAAAAGTTCAATATTTCTCTTTAAAAAGTACCACAAATTTCTCAGGAGCAAAACAAAGAGTAGAGAAGAGATCCAAGAACTGGCTAATGCAGCTACCGTAGCCCTTAAAAAATATGTTGATGAAAGATGTGTATGAACTTCTCATCTACTGAAAACATAATGCTAGAAAATTGGAGCACAAAGCCATGGAGGCACTTTGGCACTTTTGGGTGTGTTCTGATCCCCTTCTTAATTTTCCTGACATTTCCTGACATTACTTTCCAACATTATCCAAGGATTCAGAATAGCTTGGAATGCAACAAGTCTTTTAGAGCAGGAGATGGGGCTGGGAGGGGGCAGTTGGCAGGGTCAAAGAATGGGGATGGGGAGGCAAACAACATTTCAAGGTCGCTTTGCCAAATGGGTGTCGAAGGAAAAAGGGAATTGCTTTGTTTGCAGCCCTTTGTAAATCAAGCAAACATGCTAATCAATGAAGCATGCAATGGAATTGCTATTTTCAGTTTGGGAGATGGAACCAGAACAGGATCTATATGTTCCACACAAAGGCATACAACAACAGGTAGAAGTTGATTTTTCAAGGGGAATCTGGAGTACAAAGGCAGCTGAGGTTTAAGTCTTTCTCTGCCTTTTGTGGGAAAGAAGAATATGGAATTATTTACCACACGATGTGGCTATAGTGACACAGATGTATTGCAACTATTAGCCATGATAGAATTGTTCACATGCTCCTCTTCCCAATTGTTTTCAAAAGTTGCTTCTCAGGAAAGGAATTTAAGGCAAGCTTTTGATACATATATACACTTGAAACAAATAATTCTATGAAAAGAGATAACTGATAACAAAACATTACCTCGCTCTTATGGGCATATATTTGCCTTATCAATTGCCCACCACTACCTTTGACTGTAATAGGCTTTCTCATCTTAGCTTAGCTTACTTTTGAAGCTTATAATACAAAGTGGGGGGGGGACAAGGGAGAAATGATGATAGGGGTCTAAATGGAAGGAAAAAAACTACTAAATCTAATGTAGCTTGAAATATGTTTACGATAAAATGGATAACAATTATTCCTGATTTTGCAAGAATTGTTTACTTCTTAAGATTGATAAATCCAATCAGTCATTAATAAAAGACATCCTGCAGCCCAAATGAAAATAAATAGACTTGTGCACTCTGTGACCCATCGCATTCTTTCTTTCTTTTTCAGAGTTTTTTCATGCAGTTCTTAAGCAAACAGGTTCCTCTGATTAGCCACTAGAACCGTCTGGCTTTCACGCCTCTTGGCCTTCTTGTTGTGCTGGCAGATTTTCCAGCATAATGCACTTGACACCAGCAAAAAGAGTCCAGATGACAAGAGGATCAAACCAAACACCGAGATGATGGATCCATGGGAGTTGAAGCTATATGCCACAGCAGTGACCACCACCCCAGCAATGAGGATCACCACCCCAAATGGGATTGTACAACGGTAACAGGAGAGTTCAGCTCCCCCCGTAGCAGCCGTCAGTTGGCATTCACTCACCAAAGGGACAGCTGTTACCCTGTAGTCATTGTTGTTGCTTTTCTCCTGTGTTGCACACTGAGGACACTTGGAACTACCCAAGATCTCTTTAATCGGCTCATCTGTCATCTTGCAATTTTTGACTAGCTTCTCTTGCATCAGTGCTGAGACTTGAATGGGTGTTCTTTGAAAGGTTTCAACTGTGAAAAGGAAATGGATTTGAATGCATGAGTATTTCTGGACTAACTCTAGAAACAGGATGGACAATCTTTGGCCCTCCCACCTTCTAACTCCCAGAGCCCTCTCTAACCCAAAGTCAATAGCATTTGGAAATGGGAAAGCAAACTGCATTATAAGCCATAACATAGTCTTAACATAGTACAAAACCAGATACAGCATCCTAACCCCTGCCTTCCAAATCCAAGAATAACCTGGGCCCCCTTATGTGCCACAACCCTACCCACAGTGCCCTTCACTCCCCCCATATAATGTTAAGAACACGTCATGTTAAGAACAACCAATAAGCCCCTCTGCTTTGTTATAGTTCATTTCCAGATCACTACTGGGGAGAGAGGAATAAATATTTTCTGCTGCTATTATCTCTAATCTGGGAGTTATTGGCAAGTTCTGTCCTGGGCCTATGCTGAAAGTTGGGAAAGAATGAGTCTTTCAAATGTAATTCAGAGCACCTTCGGTCTTTCTACATTTTTGACTTAAACTCAGACGTTCCTCTACTACAATTTTATATGGATTCATTTGTTGTAATTCAAATAATTGTGAGCTCGGGGGCACAGATTGGTTTAGTAGCAAAAATGGCAAGAGGAAATATTTTTGAAGGAGTAACAGGGATTCCTTGCTAGCTTCTGAAGTAATCTTTGTGACATTTCAACATAAATGCAACTGACATTTATCTAAATATTATGGAATAAATGGTATAATATTGAAAGTTACCAAAAAGAGTATCAAGACCAGCAATGTCTTCTACATCTCCTCTACAGGACAGAGATAGTTCCAGCTTAGTGCGCAGCACATCTACAGTATTTTGTATTCAGACTGAGAAGATCCCAGGTGCAAACTCTGGCATCTCTAGTTACAAAAAATATCAGAAAGCAGGTGAGGGGAAGGGCCTCTGCTGAAGATCTTCTTTAGCCATGAACGGTGGCAGATGGCCTCTTCACCTGATGATCATTGCTCTTCTTTGTATCTTATACTATATATTATGTAGGACTGTTGGGAAGAGCTTTGTTGGCTATGGTGATCCAAATACAGAATGCTGCCTCCTCGTCTTCAAAATTTCACTGGCATCAATCCTGATTAATTTATTTTGGGTTATTTATACAATTTTGGATTCTTAATAGAACATATTAAGAACATGACACTATTCTTATGTTCTTTTGTAGTGACTACTGTTGAATTATCTGATTGACTGACCCTGAAGTTTCTGATTCAGACTGGGTTTGAAACAATTAAACTAATACAGGTTGATCTGTGAACATCAGAGAAAATTTGACGTTCAGGTTCACTCCACTCCACTTTTGTTTTTAGTTTGAGGGTTTCTAGTGTCCTACTGAAATCAAGGAGAGAGAAGAGAGAGAGAGAGAGTTGGTGTAGAACTGTCAAGGTCAAACTGGTTCAGGTCAGTGCCTGAACAGAGCTATCTAATGTACTCTACAGGTATCTTGTACTTATTGAAAGTATTTACTCTGGGCCTTTCCAAACCTCAAGATAGCTTCCAGCAATACAATAATGAAAGTACAAAATTATTTTGTGATTTTTCAGGCTATTAAACTGCATAGCTCACACAAGGCAAACTGATCTCCCACTGTTTTAAGTGCAGCCTTCCTTCTCCTAGTCATTTGCCACCAGTCATTTCCTTCCAGACGGCAGGGAGTGTGAGCCTTTATAACATCTACTAATTCTGGCTTTTACAAAACCACTGGGGCCTTCCCAGGTATGACCTGGCCACCCTGGAAAACTCAGCAGGAAAGAAGAAGAGGGAGAAAACTATTTCCCATTTAAGGCAGTAGTATTAGACACCCTACTAGATCAACATCTTAATTTACACCCCAACTAGGTATAATCTCAGCATAAAAATATTATAAATAAATAATTGTTCCTTGCTTGGGAGAGCAACTGAACATGAATTATTCTAGCACAGTGGCACCAGAGTGATGATACCATCGTGCTATGCACCCTTGAATTTCTATTTTATTATTATTGTTATTATTAGATTTTTATCCCACCTTTATATTCAGTCAGGAATATACCTAATACTCCTGCCTCCTATTTTCCCCACAACAACAACCCTGTAAGGTGGGTTGGGTTGAGAGAGAGGGACTGACCCAAAGTCACCCAGCCGGCTTTCATGCCAAAGGGAGGCCTGGAACTCACAGTGTCCTGGTTTCTAGGCCAGCACCTTCACCACTACATCAGACTAGCTCTCCATTTCCCCATTAAAAGCTGCCATTCACAGAGTAGAAGTTTCTGGTCAATGGGAGGCCACTCTACCTGTATTCCAGTGGTACTATGCTGCTTGGTTTGATATGCTTTTGTTTCTGTTTCAATTATAAAACTTTGTATTATATGTAATTCATTCTTGTTATCAAACTGGAAGATCATTTTGGCAGAAATAGAAAATCAATCAGTCAATCAATAGAACAAAAGTAATCATTAAGAACAGATCAACATAATATGAGGAGAGGAGTGAGTTATCCCAGGCTTAATGGTTTATGGATCACGACTGAGCAGAACAGCTAGAAGTATAAATACATTGCCGGAGTACTTGGGATCATGCACATATATTTTAAAGCAAGTTCCATGGAAATCATTGGATAAGAAACATACAGGCCTAGCTACTTGTACAGGGTATGAGTTATTGAGTGTTCTACTGGTTTAGGTAGCACAGCTGGGAAAACCTGAAGGGTTGTTTTTCTTCTTCCACACTAGGTGCCATACTCCCATCAACAATTCCTAAGTACTAAAATTCACTGTTTTAGATTGGGTCAAACTTGCACATAGATAGGATTCTCAAAAGTCATATAATAAGGTTTGTTGATTGTTATTTAGTGTGAGCCATTTTAGTTTAGCATTTGTGGTCTGTCCTATGAATGAACCAGTTTACTGGGCTTGTACAGGCACACACAACACACCACAGCCATCAATAATTGAATACTGATTTTCAATCTATTTCATAATCAAGCTTATTTTTCATTCAAGAATAAAGGAAGGAATATTGTTTCCATATTCCCAGAATGTAGATGTGAATTTTTTGCAATATAAAGCATCAATTGATCATTAAAAAAAAAATGCTATTGCATTCCATACTCATTTCTACCCTTGCATTTCATATCAACATTTATTCATGCCCGATACCCTGTCTAAATCACTAGTTAGTACAAAATATATTCAAAGTAAACAAAATTAAGTATTTATTTGCAATTTCCTAAGGCACAGAAACACCAAAGATTGCTTAACACTGTTTTCCAGGCATTCATCATCACTGGCCAATATTAATTCTTACAGTAAATTCTTGGGTGGTGAGTCAGGGAATGTCTGTAGAAACCACTGCACACTACCTTTGGTAAGCTTATTCCCACTTTAAGTTAACCTACTTCCCTGTTATTAGACAAAATATTTTAAGACTGTGGAGTGAGAGTAGCCACTTCCCATTGGAAAGTGATTTTCTGTAGAAGAATGTCCTTGATGAAAAGCATTGCCTTTCACTTATTTTAAACTAGAGAGATTGAAAAAAAAAAAAGCAATTTGGAAGTTTTGTTTTTTAATGCTTTTCAGTAGTGAGCATTGTTTGGGGGTATTTCTGTGTGTTTCTTTCAAATTAGAATCCCAGTATGTTGCAAAGTTCTTCACAGAAATCCTATTCAATTAATGCCTTAACTTTTTAATATCTACATTGACTGAAGCTGGATAAAGTACAGCAAAACTGACCTTACTATGACCATACTAAAATCATTTTTCTTCTTATTGAAAGGTTGCTGCAAGATGTCAGTTTTGTCAAGATGCCAAAGATAGCTGCCTCTCAACATAAGTGGAGCAACCACCCAGTGAGATTAACATAGAAGATTATCTTGACTCCACTCTGCACAATTTATATTCATGTGGCAAATGATGCAATTGTCTTTTTATGCACAATACATGTTCCCTCTTCTTCAAAAAAACAGGTTACTACTTTTCAAAGTAACATAGTGTGATCAGAAAGGGAAATAAATTTAGCAATACTATTATCCAAACTTGACACAAGTTTCTACCTGGTTTCCAGATACAAAAGCTGTATACTAGTGGCTCTTAACCTTTCATATCTTAGGTTCCATCTACCACTCTGTCAAAGAACCTACTGTAGGTCCCACCACACTAGAAACAAAATTACCACTTTTCAAAAGAAGCTATGAATATACTTACAAGCGTTCTGTTACTCCATTTATCATGTATGGTAAGCATTAAAAATTTAAGGTTTCATTGACTTATGCTGTGCTCCACCTAGACAATTTCTGAGTCTTACTTGTGGTATGCATATCACTAGTTGAGAACCATTAATAAATGCTACTATAGTGGGTTTATTTTATTTTTGTGTGTTGAAGTCAGTTTTTGACTCCTGGTGACTGTCTGGACAAGTCCCTGCAGTTTACTTGGCAAGGTTTTTTGGAAGTGGTTTGCCACTGCCTGCTTCCTAGGGCTGAGAGAGGGGGACTGGCCCAAGGTCACCCAGCTGGTTTCATGCCTAAGGTAGGACTACAAGTCATGGTTTCCTGATTTCTAGCTTGGTGCTTTAACCACTACACCAAACTGGCTCTCTACACTATTATAGTGTAGATGAAGGAATAGTTATGTTTTTATTGGTTTCTAATATAAAGATGTAACAGATCCAGTATAATATACTATAAAAGAGAAGGAGCTATAAACAACAGTTTCCAGTTCAAGATCTTGTATCAGTCATTGAAATATTGCATAGCCATTCTCAGATTGTCCTACAGACACACGCAGACACAGATAGTCCTACAGAGAGGGACACACAGACACAAGCTACCAGTTATACTGAGGATCTAAACAGCTTAACAATAGTGACAACATTTAAATAACATTTTATGTAATTAATAGGTAATCTTAGTCATCAAGCACAGTTCTTCACAACATTTTCCATTAGATAAATCTTGAGGAAAAAATAAGAATTTTATGAAAGAGGACAACCATTTTCAATATAATAGAAGAATGCCAACAAAAAGTTTAAATTATAATATTTATCCAAGTATCTCAGAAGTATACACCCAATGCTCCTGTCATGCTATCTATTACATAAAGAGATAATCAAGGGTGTATTTGATAATCCATTTTGCATCCTCTTCATTAGTAAGGTAAAAACACTTTGCATTTTATACTTGGCTATAATCTAGTAAGACCTGCAGGTGTTTAAACATTACACAGCATGGACTCATGGAAAAGTATTTCCAACAGCAGAGACAGGAATAAGGGTTACAGATAGAATAACGTCAGCACTCGAGAACCAGTCAAAACATCTTATAAAAAGAAATACACAGCAAGAGAGATACACTACTCATATCCATTCCATACCCAAGGCACTCTTGAAAAGTCGGGCTTTAATGGCCTTCCTCAAAACCAACAGGATGGAGGCCACTGTAATTTTGGGGACCATGCTGTTCCAAAAAAGAAGGCTCATTTCCACAGCCTCTAAAATGACAACCCTTAAAAAAGAGACCTAGAGAGAGCCCATCCTACCACTGCAAGAAGGCAATCTTGTAGATAACCAGGTCCTAAGCCTTGAAGGACTTTAAAGGTGACAATCAACACATTGAATGGCACCTGGAAAAGAATGAGCAACCAGTGCCTCTCTTGAAGTAGAAGTGTTACATGAGAGAAACTCAAAGCTTCCTGCCCTATTCAAGCCATTGCATTCTGGACCAATTTGAGCTTCTGGGTGCTCTTCAAGAGAAGCCCCACGTAGAGTATATTCCAATAATCTGACCAAGAGGTGGCTAAAGCATTAGTGATCAAGAATAGTGTTTCTCAATCCTGGAGAGGTCATCTGACACACCAGATGTTGTATAAAGGCCTTCCTGGTCACAGTTGCCATCTGCTCTTTGACAGAAGCTGCAAGTCTAGAGGAACCACCAGACTGTGAACCAGTTCCACAAAAGGAAGTACAACCAAAGATGGAATGTCTCTGGTACTGGAAGTCTTTCATATCCATTGCTGCTTTGTCTTGCCAGGGTTAAGCCTGAGTCTGTTCCTTCCCATCTGGACCCCAAGGACTAGGACAAGACTTCCACCACATCTCCTGTTCAGCCCAACTTCAAGATATATAAGTAAGCATCATCTGCATACTGATATGTGACTCCATGCCAATGAATGTCCTCCCCCAGCAGTTTCATATAGGTATTAAATAGATATTAAATAGGAGAGGTGAGATACCAAGCACTATCACTGACTGAAATTCCCTTTCAGGAAGGAGGAAAACCACTGTAAAACAGTGTCTCCTACTCCTAACTCTTGAAGTTGGCTTACAATAATCAATGGTATCAAAAGCCACACAGAAGTCCAGCAAGACCTGGAGAGTCACACTTCCACTATCCTGGTCTCATTTACAGGAGTGATTAATCTGCTCTTAGTACCATACCCAGGCCTGAAATAAGATTGAAAAGGGTCTAGATAATTTGTTTCTTCCACCGTTCTTTAACCTTATCAATAACCTTCCCTAAAAAGAGAAGGTTAAAGACTTACAATAGTTATCCAATATAGCTAGGTCAAGTGACAGCTTCTCAGGAAGGGGGTGATTACCTCTTTCAAGGCAGGGAGTCCTACTGCATCTCTCAAGGATGTATTAACCACTACCCTGACCCAGCCTCCTGATATCTCCTTGGAGGCTTTCACCAAGCAGGAAAGACAGGCATCCAAACTACAGGTAGCAGAGCTAACATTGTGAAGAATGTTGCTTACTTCCTCAGGACCAAAAGAATCAAACTCTCCAAGATAACCTTGTAAGGATGACTTTAAAAAGGGCCATTGGATAACAATCAGTGGATACAATAAGAGCAGAGAAATATTTCACTACTATTAGGCTCAAAAGTGTCCAGGTAGGCTTGCTCTTTGTCTTTTGCTGATGTAGCTTTAGGTATCTCTTCTGCTGCTTCGCTCCCTGGAGACTCTCAATAATCCAAG